AACCAGCGGTTCAAGATCGTGAATCGGATCGTGAAGGGGCCATGGTTGGTGAGGAAGACGGTGGGGAATTACAGCGCGTGCCTGCTGGGGAAGGCCCTGACCTGCAATTACCACAGGGGGGCGAACTATTTGGAGATCGACGTCGACATCGGGAGCTCCGCCATCGCGACGGCGATCCTGCACCTCGCGCTCGGGTGCGTGACGAGCGTGACGATTGATATGGGGTTTTTGGTGGAGGCGCAGGAGGAGGAGGAGTTGCCCGAGAGGTTGATCGGAGCGGTGAGGGTGTGTCAGATGGAGATGTCGTCGGCTGCGGTTGTGGAGGCGGCGGCGGCGACGACGGCGATGGTTGGGCGGGGGATAGGGTTGGCGAAGGTCAATCATCATGAGGAGGAAGATTGATTGGATTGGGGTAAAGGACAAAACTGTAATTGTCGACCTAAATCCGGGGATTTAGATTTTTTTTTTGGGCTAATACCACTGGGAAACCCGAACTATTAATTTTGTGTCATTTGTGTCCTAAAGTATTCGATACGACATTTGTGTCCCAACCTATTATAGTTTTGTGTCATTTATGTCCCGACGATTTTGTTGACCGTTATATATAACGGTTGACCAAACGGAAGTCAACATTAACATTGACTTTTGTTGACGTGGCAGCCACGTAGATGCCAAGTCAGTGACACCTCATATTTTTAATTAAAAAAAATAATAATATATATTGTTATAAAAATAATTAAACCTACATTTTATTTATCTTTTTATGTCACTTAAAAAAGTCAATAAAATAAAAGAAAAAGAACTCCTTCTTCGCCTGCAAGACCATCGACAAATCCCCGCTCGCCGACCAAGCCGACCGCGACTGCCTCGAGAAGGAGCCCAAGGTCATGCTCTTCCTCCTGCCGCACCCAAACATCCTCCAGATCCACGACGCCTTCGACTCCGACGACTCCCTCACCTTGATTCTCGACCTCTACGAGCCCTACACCCTCTACGACAAGGTAATTAAAAATAAAATAATTAAAAGAAGCGTCGGGACCCCAATCGTCCGACACAATCACCATCCTCCTTCGCCCGACCCCAATCATCCGCCACAACCTAATCTGCGCCGTCGAAGTCCACTTCTTCCAGCAAGCCTTCGGCATCGACGCCATCGTCCTGTACAGCCCCATAATCGAGTAGAGGAAGAAGATAGTGGCGATTGGGAGGATTTGTAAGTGGATGGCGGAGCCGATTCCGTCAAGGGAGATGAAGAGGAAGGAGAAGATGCAGACGAAGATTGGGTTACAGTCCCATTAACCTAGCCCGGAGATGGGGATTTGGAGCGTCGATGAAGGCCCGCTTCTTCTCCAGCCCAGCTACTCCTCTTCCCCTTGCGCTCATCCCTCCGCCTGCTTCTCTGTTCAAATTTCAATCGAAGAAAACCCCGATCAGAGTGAGTGGAGGACAGGATTTTTTTTTTGTTTTAGATTATTCATTTATATGGAAAATAATTATAAATTTCACATCAGATGCCACATCAGCGCTGACTAAAGTTTCTGTTAAAAATTAACGGTCAACGCCAGTCAACTATAACGGAAAAATAGTTTGGGACACAAATGTCGTATCGAATACTTTATGACACAAATGACACAAAGTTAGTAGTTCGGGTTTCCTAGTGGTATTAGCCCTTTTTTTTTTTGGGCGAGTTCCTCCCCTTTTTGGTTCGTTTTGTTCAATGAATGTAACGGTTCGGTTCAATTTTTGTGACGGAATGGGGGATCCCCGTTTCTTGTGTATGGGGATTGACGGTGGCCGGTGTAGATAAGAAAAGTGGAAAAAAACGGCAGTAACGAGGAAATTTCTTTAGCAAAAACGGATTCTCACCTTGAAGAGAAAGTAATCGAGTCAAGTAATTCGCTATCGGAAATTTTTCCGCCGTGTTGCGGATTATCTAGCCAATAACGTATAACTACGAATCGATAACACCACGAAATCATCGTAACGAGTTAGGTTTTTGGTGTGTGCTTGAAGTCTCCGGGAAATAAAATGGTAATATATCAGTTAGGTTGTCTTTCTGCGTTGAGAGACTAGAGTGGGGAGTTGACTTGTTAGCTACAAGAATTATTGGGCAGCCAAATGTTAGGGCAATGGGGTTGGCTTTTGGAGGGATTTATGAGGTGACAAATGACTAAGTTGAGCTGTTTTTACTCGGTCTTGTTTTCACGGCTAGTGAGTTAAAACTTGGGCATTGGTTGGTGGGTAGGTCTACAATTATGTCCCGCTATTCACAAGCGGTTTGATAGTCGTCTCCGAAAAAGTTAGTTTGATATAGTTAGCAAACGAGTCTAGTTCCATCCAAGTTTTGTTGAGTTTATAAGGCTCACGAGCTAATTTGATTCATTGGCTTGTCGAGATCAATTCGTGAGATTACTTGACTTGGACTCATGAGCTGACTGCTAAATCTCGAGCCAATTCGACTAGCAGCTTGCTAGGAAATTACAAAAAAGAAAAACTGGTTTACATCCTCGACGCATTGTGGAGGGAAGAAATCAGGTGTTAGCAGATTATCTAGTCAATTCATGACACATAAGACATAACTACCTTAAAAAATTTATGATGTTGATTGTAAGGACTCGAAAGCTCGACATTTGATATACTGTTATGTTACCGTAGTATTTGAATCTCGATTGGTTAGTTTCCGCTCACCAAAATTTAGGGCATATATAGGTTCATGAAATGACTAAATTGGGGTGATTTTACTTGGTCCTGTTTTCACTGCTAGGAAAGTGGGAAATAGAGGGCAATGGTTGGTTTGGTGGGTGGGTGAGTGTGTAAGTACAAAATACGACTGTTGTGATTTTAGGTGGGCGGGTTGGTTGGGATGTCGATATTAAAATTCAGAATCGGTGTGCTATAAGCTGGACGAATGTGTGAGTGGATGGAAAGCTTTTGTTTCTCATTCTTTTGTCGACCCAATGCTACAAAACTGACATCACCGGCCACCAATTATTATTATGGTCCAACAGCTTTAACCCTCGTTCCATTATTCGGTATTTGATTAGTGTAACCATCATGATTAGTATGGTTCTGTGGAGTTAATTAAAAGAGCATCAGGTTATGCTTTGTGGGACACCAATAATTGTTGAATCACGCATTTTGATGATTCAGGTTAAATCCGGTTCTTAATTCAATATCTAGATGATACTTTCTTATAAAGATATGCAATACGCTGAATTTATCCTATGACGCTAAAAATCACCGTATATTCTAAGTCGAAAAACCACCAAAAGGTTTAGTTTAGATAGGGGCATGGCATTATGATCACCAGTAGGAACTAGGAACATATTCTGCGTTGCTGGTTTTGTATGCAAAGACAAGCATAAATTCTTAATTAATTCTAGTTCTTGGGCCAACAGCAACCTTAAATTTCTTGCCTACTTATATATTCCAGACGAGAAAGATAACAGACACCATCAATCCAGTTGTTGCCGCTTTAATGAAATAATAATAATAATAATAATAATAAAAAAGAAAGATCGTCTCCATCTCTGCTTATCTCCATCCAATGTGTACTTTGAATTCATTTCTAAATCATTTTCTGTTGCCTCTCATCATCCATGCTTGATGGAGAAAGGTGACTGCCTGACTGGTAATATATAAAAATTAGGGGTGTACATGGGTCGGGTTTAGGCATTTTAATCACCCGATCCATGCACTACGGTTTGGAAAATATTAAACCCAAACCCACTCAAAAAAATCTAAACCCTACGGTTTGTTTCTAATTGGGTTGGGTCGGGTTGGCGATATTTTTAAGTAAAAACCCAACCCAACACAAAATATGTAATTATTCTACATCATAAAAATATTTTATAACAAATTAAAAATTCAAACGAATAAATTGAGGTGAAAGGTATCAAAATTCACAAATATTGTTTGAATTTTAATAAACTTGATTTACTTCAACTTATGTCTAGTTTTTTCACGACATTTTGTTGAAATAGGCTAAAAAGGTTACAAATGAACGCATCCATAATATGATATTCTTTTAAAATTGTACACAAGAAAAATAAATTACGTGAATCATAGCTATATTAAATATATGTCTAAACTTTAAGTCGAAGAATGCATTAGATTAGTGTGACTTTAAGAGAAAAACATGGCGAAATATCTTAATTTTCTCATAATGTATGACTATATACGACATAAATATTTTTTTGGATATGAACTCATACCAATAATTGGAACACGGGTTGGGTCGGGTTCTACGGGTTGTGTAATCCAAAATCCAAACCCAACCCAAGAGAGGCGGGTTGTACAAAAGAAAACTCTCACCCAACCCAAAACCTTCGATTTAGCGATAAATACGGGTGGGTTGGGTCGGGTTGGACGGGTGGGTCGGTTTGCGGGTGTGTTTGTTCACCCCTAATAAAAATCAAGTGGATCAATTCATAATTGGGCCAGGGTCATTCAAATAACAATTGGGCTAACCATAAAAATAGAAATCACTTGGGCCCTTTGATTTCAGCCCATTCACGATTTCAACGTCCCAATCACCTGGGCTTCAACTGGCGCTGACAGACAAATCTTGCACTCCAAGTATCACATCCTTTCCATCGTCACTACTGTCAATTTCACGTTGCCCTGCGCTCTGCGGCACCAGAATTTCCATTCCTTTGGTCTCATTCGTGTGTGGTGCACAACCAACAACCATTAATCTCTCAAGGCTCTAACTTCACGGCCAACCAACAAGTCAAGAGTCTTGAGTTGTTGGCCTCTTCTACCCTAAGCCCCAACACCACATCAACAAAATAACAAACACAAAAACAAAATGCTTACTCTGCATAATCCTTTCGGTATCACGAGATACCGAGTTCCTCCAGTTCGTACTTGACTGCTGAGAGGGATAGGCGTAAACACACCGGGCCACGATAACCAAAATTGCAGTCTATATAGTCAGTCACCTGCATTTCCTTGTCCATGTTCAACCCCCACACCACACTAATAAGCATCTGCTGCATATGGCTGATTCTCAGCACCTTCATTGCTTCTACATCACGGCAACAATCATAACCTATGTTCTGACCCATTCGTGCGCCGATGGAGCTAGGCCACAGGATTTAGGCACCTATTCACTGCAGCAGCAAGCTCCGACGAACCCAATTCATACGGACAGATTCGGGGTGGGAGTCGCCCTGCCCGTGACTGCAGGGCCTGGAGGTGGAAGCTACGTAGTCACAGTTGGATTCGGCACCCCAAAAGTCGACTTCCCTCTGCTCTTTGACACCGGGAGCGACGTGAGTTGGGTGTACTGCCACTCTTGTTCTCAAGGCTGCACCCCTGGCTCGCCCACTTTCAACCCTTCACTGTCTTCTACCTCCTCCAGCGTCCCCTGCAAGGCTGCCTGCGATTACGCCGTGGAGTACCACGACCGGTCTCAATCGATTGGGGTTTACGCCAGAGACACGATCTCCCTGGCGGATACCGAGTCTCAGGAAGGGTTCATATTCGGTTGTGCTGAAAAAGTCAGTGGGGACTTTGGTCGAACAGCTGGTGTGCTTGGGCTCGGACAAGGGCAGTTCTCGCTGCTGGCACAGACCGATCCGAATCTCTTCAGCATCTTCTGTTACTGCCTTCCGCCCACGGATTCCGCAACTGGGGTGCTCTGGTTCGGGGTCCAAGCGATGGAGAGCTGCCGGCCGGGAGCTTCCAAGATGATCTCGCTCGTTGTCGAACCGAACAACAACGGGCTCACCAACTATTTCGTCAAATTCACCGGCATAACGATTGGGTCCCAGAGATTGGACTTCAATTCCTTGGTCTCTTCGCCGATGAGCACGATCATCGATTCGGGAACCGTCGTGACGCGGCTTCCTCCGGCGGTCTATTCGGCGCTCCGGGCGGCGTTCCGGGGGATGATGTCGGGGTATCCCGCAGCGGAGCCGACTAATCTGTTGGATACTTGCTATAATTTGGAGGGGCGTGAGCAGGATTGGACGCCGCCGGCGATGGCGATGCATTTTGAGGATTCGGTGGACGTGGGACTGGATCCGTCGGCGGTAACGCTGAGGGAAGGAGATGGGGAATCGGCGTCTCGAGTTTGCTTGGCTTTCGCCGGTAACGGCGATGAGAATGAATTGACGATTATTGGGACCCAACAGCACCGCGGGTTGAGGGTTTACTACGATATCAATGGCCAGAAACTGGCGTTCGCCGCTGGTGGCTGCTGATCGATCATCTCGACCATAGCATCATAGTTAAATTTCTGTTTTTATCTTTTTTTTACCTTTTTAACCGTTGTTGAACTCACATCCTGTTAATTGTACTTGTCTACTAGGTAAAAGAAAGGTATTTGCATAAAATTTTCAAACATACAAGGAAAATGCCAAAACAAAACCCAAACACAAACCCAAACAAAATAGGCCCAAAACTCAAAACAAATCCAAATCAAATTCAAGTCATATCCTAACAATACGGATAGACAAGACTGTGCTTCGAGAGCCAGTCCGCGACTCTATTCCCCTCCCGGTATGTATGAAATAGTTTCACCACCCAATCGTGAGAAATCCTCCTCCTGATAGCCGAGAGTAGCGTCGCGTAAGGGTGAAGAGGGTCGGATATATTGTTCACCAACTGAATAACTGTATGAGAATCTGATTCCAAAATAACAAACCTGTACCCAAGGTGCCAAGCTGTCTTCAAACCGTGATAGATAGCCCACAGCTCGGCCATGGTGGCCGAGCACGAGCCTAGACTTGCTACAAAATCTTGGATCCACTTCCTGTTCTCCATCTGCAGCACCATCCACATTAACTTTAATCCACCCCATGGGAGGAGGATGCCACCCTATGTCTTGCAGCAACCCGCGTGGGAGGAGGATATCTCTTGCCACAAATGGCAAATAGGAGCTGTCCATGCCTTGTACCACACATCCGCCTTGATCCGAATAGCCTGCGTGAGTGATGGAGAGGATAGGGTCTTACCGATACCATTGAAAATCCCTTCTTCATTTCTGTTCTTCCAGAGACACCACAGAGCGATGCTGAAAAATGCGTTCCATGGGCAATTGTGCCCTGCTCAAACTCTTGCATATGCATAGCTCTTAATTGAATGTTCTAATACCGACAACTATTTAAAAGATATTTCCAAATCTCAAAGCTTTCACAACAAAATACGTCTACAATCCTTATACGCCTCATCACACGCTATTTGTGGCCCTCCATATCATGTGGTTTATATTAACTCTTAATAACGAGGGTGGTGAGAATTTGAAACACTTGACATCACTATTAAATCAACTATAATACTATGTTGTAAATAAATTGGTCTCAATAACCCAATTGAGAGAGGATTATACACACTTAATCATGTATCTTAAGTATACTTCTCTCAAAACAGAGCAAGTCGCAGGATACTCTGTTTTTTTTTTCAGTTTGGCCACAGAACAGAGTTCTTTCTCTGCAGTAATAAAACCCAGAATTCATGTCAGGATTAGATCACAGGGACAGGACACATGGCTACAATGAGCTCCTTTAAGTCCTTAACCCATTTGACCCTCCAAAAAAGCAAATGAAGTCTTCTCTCGTGGTCTGTCTCTTCTGTGTCTTTTCTGGAGCTGCTACTGTCTCTACCGCGCTGAAGAATCAATTTCATTGTTGTTATTCCCAAAACTTCCTGTAGTGAACAGTAAGACTGAGTACTGTCTTAAGTCTACTCTTCGTTTCTTCGGTCTCCGGCATCTCTTGCACAAGACGACGGAAGGTCGGAACTTTGCTCGGCGAATACGTTACTCCTGGTCCCGACCGGAAAATTCTTCCGAGTATTGAACTGGTCTTCTTAATAGACACTCTATATAATGCCAAGTGACGAATCTGCATACACTCAAGCCAATTACTCAATTCCTTCCCATTTGCAGAGCTCCAAAATATCCACTCTAAAACGAGTTCTGAGGTGAAATTGAAATTTTTTGTAACAACTCCAAAGTTGTGCTCGGTGTGAAGTACTGCAAGGATGAATGACCTATGAACGTGACATTGATATGCACTTCAATGCAAAATCCGAGAGGTTCAAGACCCCAAAATAGATAACATTTTTTTGAAAAAAATATTCGGAATGTTATAGATCAAGCAATGCAAAAAAAACCCTTAGGCCATCTCTCTCTTTTTTTTTTTTTTTTTTGGTTATAAGACCCTTAGGCCATCTCTAAGTAAGTCTCTAGACTCTAATTTATGATTAAGCGCTTGTCGGGACAGATCGACTTATATGAGTATGTAATCTAAAAAGTCTCTAGACTCTAATTTATGATTAAACGCTTGTCAGGACAGATCGACTTATATGAGTATGTAATCTAAAAGAAAAACATTAGAAATATTCATTTTTATTGTGAAAAAATTAAGAACCAAATTATAATGTGATAAATTCGAGAAACTGAAATTCTCATCTATTGACAACTTTATTACATTTAAAATATGAGATAATAATGTAAAATCTTTAATAATCTGAGTAAAATTACATGTAGTTTATACAAAAATGATTAGAAAATGAGATGGATCAAGACAATTCATATCAGAGTATTTATATCCACCACATTTTCGGTAAAAAACATAAAATGGCTGCCAAAGCTCCAACCATCAAAGGTGTCAGTTTGTTATTGGTGGATTCACCTTTCTTTTTTCTTAATATTTAAATATTTAATTAAGCTAAGTAAATCAAGAATTAAAATATTAAAAAAATGATGAAAACATCAATAGAAAACTGACACGTAGCTGGTTGGAGCTTCTATGTCCGATCAAAATTGGAGCTAATAATTTTCCTACATAACCCACTTGACCCTCCCGAAAAGAAAGAAGTCGTCTCTTTCTCTCTCGGTCCCTACTCTGTTCTTTTCAAGCTCTGTTCCTCGCTCGATATCTCGTATGTGAATCCATTTGACTGTTGTTGTTTCGAAACTTCCTATAACGAACAATAATACTACTCAGTATTGACTTAACCTTCCTCGCTAATCTGACATAGCTTTCTTCTTCCTCCTCACAAAAACAAACCAAGTCGTCTCTCGTGGTCTCTTCTCTGTCCTTTTTCCAAGCTCGAGACAGAGTTTGGAAATCTGCTCGGCGAGTACGTTACCTCTGGTCCCCAACTGGAAAATTCTGATGCGTTGAACCCTTCTTCTCAAAAGTTTCTATATAATGTCAAGAAATCCTTCATGTGTTCAAGCCAATTACTCACTTCCCTTTTCTCCATTTCCACCGCTCGAGAACATCCAAGCTTAGCTGCAATGGCTAAGAATACCCACATAACAGTCATCTCCTTCCTTCTCTTGATTTCCATCTTCCATTCCTATAACAACTGGCAAGTCTCCGCCAGGGAAACCCACGCCAGAAGAAGCCATCATCATCACCACCATCATCATCAAGCCAAGAAGTCACTCCCTTCCCCTGTTTCCTCCTACTCTGTTTCTTCTTCCTGTGCATCATCTCCTCTGCCTCAAGGTAACCTTATGGTCAAGAAACATATATATTACGGTCTAATTTATCTCAGAATCACGGCTTTTCCATTAATACTAGCTCAATTATTTCTTCAACAACAGGTGGGTTGAAGATCTCGCACAGATACGGTCCCTGCTCACTCCAGGGGAAGCGACAGGAGCTGAAACAGGGGAGCCACAATTCACTGTACAACACAGCCGCCGCCGACGACACAACCGCCACCAATTATGCAGTGGATTCTTCAGATCACGGAGAAGGAGTAGCAATGCGGACCTTCGGTCGCTCGCAGGGCGCCGGAAACTTCCTCGTCACCATCGGCCTCGGCACTCCGGAACGAGATTTCGATCTAATGTTCGACACAGGCAGCGACCTGTCGTGGGTAAAATGCCAACCCGACGGCGGCGGCGACGGCGGCGTTTTCGACCCTTCAGCCTCCTCCACCTTCAACGTCACCTGCGATCCCAGCTGCAACTACAGAGTCCCCTACCTTGACCGCTCCAGTTCAACCGGCTACTACGCCAAAGACAGACTCACCATCGCCGGCGACGAGCTCCCCAATTTCACCTTCGGCTGCAGCCAGAAAACCTCCGGCAACTTCGGCGACGCCGCCGGAGTCCTCGCCCTCGGACGATCCAACCCAATTACACTCATCTCCCAGACCGCCGCGATGTACGGCCAGATCTTCTGCTACTGCTTGCCCACCTTCGACAATTCAGCCGGCTACCTCCTCTTCGGAAACGGGGCGACCCATCAATGTCGAAGCTCCGACAACCAATTCACCGCGCTCGTCGGCAACCGCGATTCCCCCAACCAGTACTTCGTCGATTTCAACGGGATCACAATCGGAAGCGCGAGGCTCGACTTCCGAGCTTCTTCTTCCTCCTCGCCGTCGATGGGGACGACGATGATGGACTCCGGGACTGTAATTACCAAGCTTCCAGCTGCGGTGTACGAATTTCTGAAAGGTGAGTTTGTGAAATCGGTGGGGGAATTTTACCCGAGGGTGGAGAAGGCGGATAAGTTGGACACGTGCTATGACATGGAGGGCAATTTCAACGCCGCCGTGATTCCGGCGGTGGTGCTGCATTTTGACGGCATGGATCTGAGGCTGGGTCCGTCGGCGGTGGTTTGGATGGACGATGGGTACGGTCAGGTGTGCTTGGCGTTTGCTGCTAAAGAAGATGAGAAGGATTCGAACATCATTGGGAACCATCAGCAGAGGGGTTTGAATGTGCTGTACGATGTTGAGAATAGCAGGGTTGAAATCGGGCCGGGAAGTTGTGGTGGCAACTAAATTGGGTAGGAAGGATTTGATTAGTAGGGCTGTGGTGTGGCTAAGAATGCCTAAGTTAAGCCCAGTCTTTGATGTCTAATTCTGTGTTGGTCCTAATTGCAAAGTGTTTTATTGGTATACTCTTTTTCTGTTTGTTTGGGGTCTCACCGTGAGCTAAACTAAGAAAACAAAGAACGAAACAAAACTAAGTACGAGGGAGATCTCAAAAGAGATAAGTTGTTGCGTAGGCTGAATCCCTCTAGTTATAGGTTGACATTGGTTGAATGCAAGTTAACGAAGGTTACCCTATCTTCTAAGTTGCAAGAAATCACCGAAACTAGTACATAAGACAATGATCATGTCTGGTACTGTAGATGCACTTCTAATAGACTTCTTGGTTCAATGAGAATGTGACCTACTAGCCACCTAGAGCTTTTAAGATTAGAGTTAGACTCATTAATTCCCAAATGACGAATGAGATTTTGACTCTAGTTACGGTTCGCGAAGAAGAAGCTGCCAGTGGGCAAATGACATTTTGTACCTTGTGGTTGTTATGTGCATGATCTGACGACCGGGAGGGAGATTGGTTGGGGTAGCAAACATGGTCACATTGTTCATATGGAGGAACTTGAATCTCGCCCACTGTCAACTTTGTTTCGTTGTCATCACTTGTTTCATCTGGCGTATAGGGTATCGTCTTTCCTTTCTATGTCCAGGAATTCACAATCCTTACCTGTTTTTTTTTTTAGTACTCGTGATAAAACATTTTATTTGGTGGCATTTTCAATAGGGTTGTCCCAATTCTAGTCGGCTTTTGACGAAGTTTAAACAACGTTTACGGGGTAATTAGCATAAATGGTCACAAACCTTTGCACTTAGTACAAAACAGTCACAAACCTTTAATTTGTAACTTTTTGATAACAAAATTTTTTATTTAGAACAAAACGGTCACAAATTAAACAGTGTGACCATTTCATACCAGTTCGAACTTTTGTTACCGTGTCGTTGCAAATTAGACTTTTGGTGACCGTTTTGTACACATTAAGTTCAAAAGTTTGAACGATCAATCACCGTTACAATTTGCTCTAGTTGTATGGTGGTTTTGTTAATGTATGTGAATGATATGATCGTCATAAATGATGACAATGAGAGAATTCAATGGCTCACAAACGGGTTCCAGACTGCTTTTTAGTTGAAAAAACTCTGTCTACTTTCTTACTTTCTTGGTATCGAAATTGAAAGGTCAACCGAAGGCATTCTTTTTCGGCAAAGCAAATATGTCGATGAACACATGACCTGACATCTTATATGTCGTTCAAGTGGTTAGTGTCATATACTTAATTAACGAACAAACTACCCGACCTCAAAACATGACAATCATTTAATTTGTAACGATTCGGTAACAAACCTTTGCACTTAAAACAAAACGGCCACAAATTAAATAGCAGTGACCATTTTATACAATTTCAAAATTTTGTTACCGTATTGTTACAAATTAAAAGTTTGTGGCCGTTTTGTACTAAGTACAAAGGTTTGTTACCATTTATGCTAATTACCCACCCAACGTTTATGAGGCAGCAGTGCGACGTTTGATTCTCAATATGATTTTCGTGCAATAGTTGTGTGGAAGCTAAGACTACACATACCTCTTTTCTGCCTAGTCTTACTGTTATTATTGGACCTTTTTCATATCATCCACACCGATTGTTGGGGCCCTAGACTAGACTAGTGATCTCTTGTCATGGATATACATATTTTAAATTGATTGTCAGTCATACCATTTACTAACATATTGATTTTTTGTGATAATTTCGTTAGGGCAATTTCCTTTGATCAATGAATTTCATTTTGTTTGTTTACAAAGGAATAGCAAATTGGATGAGGATGAATTCGGGCTTCTAAAAATATAAATCGATAACTGTTACGTCGGAATTATAGAGGTGTTTGCTCTGATTTCAGCTTTTCGGAGTATACAATATTTCTAAAATGTTGATTTAATATGAGCAAAATAATGTTTATTAGGTCTTTATTATAAAATGATTTAATTTGGTTAGTACTTAGTACATATTATTTTCATTTAAGCACTTAATTCGTTTTGCTCTCACAAAAATACGGCTGATACCGTGGCGTACGAAACTATGACGTCAGGCGACCTAAAGGGTTTAAGGCGGCAGCTCCATTTCACTCTCGATTGAGGTTCTTCAGCCCTTCCCCCAATTCTCTGTAGTCCGAAAGGCAGATATGGCTTCCCTTTGCAGGTCCGCTGTAATGGCGGGCTCAAGGTCTTTAGCTGCGCGTTCCAGAACATTAGCTCAGAAGCCCATCTTCTCGTCCTCTCCTTTCGCTTCTCCTTCCCCGACCCGAGTCGTCCGAAGCGCTTCAAGGTCTGAGAATTTTTCTTTTTGACTTCCGAATTTCAATCTCTACTCTGCCCCTTAGTTTTCTGTATTCATTGAAGTAATTGAACCATTTCGCGTTGCTGGATTGTTGTAACCTTAGGGTTGTTTCAGCTATCGGGAGCGTAGATTCGTTGTTACCTTTTCATAGTGCCACGGCCAATGCGCGGCTTATATCCAGTATTGCTGCTGATTCCTCTTGCTGGAGCTTACTTTCTGAAGGTGATCTCTTTTGTCTATCTAGTTACCCAGTTCTCAAATTAATCTTAGAATTTCGTTTCTATTGTGCGTTATGATATGCCCATGGAAGGGAAGGAGGGAGATCGATCTTCTATGTCTAGTTGGTTATCAGTCAGTCTGGCGTGTTAGAACTTTACATTCTGATTATCACAATGGTGACTTCCATACAACACAAATTAAGTGAAAATGTATTGTTACAGTAAGATGAAGTTGATTGGATTTTGCTATGAACATTTCCCTCTTCTTTGTTAACATACACAGCGGATGGACATGAGCTTAATTGGCTTCTTGTTGATTGTGTTTTTGGGGGGGTTTTCATTGCTCATGTTGTTAACTGCTCTGCTATTTACCATTTAATTCTTTGCCTTCGAATGGTGGTTCTAATTTGTCTCTCTGTAGCTTGCTCTAGGCCTTGCAACACTTTTATGGCCGCCATGTTCATCTGATCCCTTGTTGATTGTGTTTTTGGGGTTGTGTTCATTACTCATGTTGTTAACTGTTCTGTTATTTACCATTTGATTCTTTGCCTTGGAATCATGGTTGTCTCTCATTTTTATCTTGGTAACTTGCTCTAGGCCTTGCAACACCTTTATGACATCTGTGCTGGATAAGGAATTGCCAAAAGGAGTTTGCAACACCATTATGACCACCTTGGAACTGATCTCTTAGGAAGGACGAACACTTACTTCAGTTTTTGCTTCTTTTGTAAGTCTCGCGTGTTCACTGACCTTTTCTTTTCCATCTGTACTTGGCTTTGCTACTCCATCCGGGATGAGAGCTTCCGTTCCTTTTGGATGATCAAACGATTGTTAGTGTGATTTATGGAATCTTGTAATAATGGTGTTTCCTTTTCATTTGACTTGTTGAATGATGCTTCGACTAGCTATGCAGTTCCTTAGCTAGAAGCCATAGCCTCCCTTGGTACCTCTTAAGTGAACTCTTAGGTCCAAATTCCGATGATGAGTTACTTTGTCAAGTTTATGAGTATAATCGTCTGTTTTCCTCCCCTAATTGTCTTGATGGAGATAAATTCTGGATGCTAAACCACGAATTGTGTAAATCTGCAGGTGCCGTGATTTCTTTGTAATTTGGGATCTTTGAATATGGTTTTCTAGGATTCATTCTGCAGTACTTATTTGTTAAACTTTTGTTATCTAGTTAAACTTTTGTTATCTTAATCTAACAGATTCGTAGATGTAACAAAAGGTTTTATTATCATGCCTTAATTCTAGTACTTGCGATTTACAAGGTCGATTCTTTATTCTCTTTCCGAAGTTCTTAGTTTACAATGCTCCCTTTGAGAAGAAAAGAAGAACAACAGAGTTTTGCTAGGGTTTTTGGTGAAGGTTCTCAAAACTTGAGAGCTTCGTTTTCTGCATTTCTCAATATATACCCAACAACCTTTACAGAGGAAAGTAGAAACCAACGGCTAATCTACAGTATTAACTAACTAATCAAAAACAACCAATAAAACAAAAGCACGTGTCCACAAGACACAATTAAACTTGCAATCAACGAACTAAGAAGGACGACATCGTATTAAGCCATCTCTGTCTTCTATTGATGAAACGTCTCCGTTTTGCTCCAAAGCAGCTTTCCCGATTAGAGCAAAACGCCGTCGTTTCTCCTGAGCTGGTGATCCTCGGTTGCAAGCATCTTCAGCCTGCAGCAGCTGCCTTCCTGCACTTCTCTTCTGGTTCAATCCTCAGCTGCTGCTGCTTATTCATCTATTACCCCCCTTCAAGCTGGCGAGTGTCTTCCAGAGACTCCCAGCTTGCACATCAGCATGTTAAAGCGATCTATACCAAGGCTTTTGGTAAAGATGTCTGCTAAATGGTAGGTAGTTGAAATATGTCTCAAATCAAGCAAACCATTCATCAGTCTCTCTCTAATGACATGACAATCAACCTCAATGTGTTTCGTTCGCTCATGAAACACTGGATTCCTGGCAATGTGTATTGCCGACTGATTGTCACAGTAAACCAAGGCTGGTTGAGAGTGAGCAATTCCAAAGTCAGAAAGCAATCTTACCAACCACTGAACTTCACAACTGAGCTGAGCCAAAGCTCGATATTCTGCCTCTGAGGAGGATCTGGAAACTGTACTCTGCTTCTTTGTTTTCCAGCTAATCAAACTTGTCCCCAGAAAAACACAAAACCCTGTCAAAGATCTTCTTGAATCAGGACATGTGGCCCAGTCAGAATCACTATACCCTGTTAATTGCACAGCAGAATCATTGGAATAGAACAAGCCTTGACCAGGTGAAGTACTCAAGTACCTAAACACCCTCTGCAAAGCTTTATAATGAACTGTGGTTGGAGAATCTTGGAATTGGCAAAGCTGTTGAACAGCAAAGCTTATGTCTGGTCTAGTATTTGTCAGATACTGCAACTGTCCCAACAAGTGTTTAAACTTGCTAACCTCCAGAAAAGGATCACCATCTGAGGCTGAAAGGACCTGTTTTATGCTGGAAGGGGTTTTTGCAGGTTTGCACTCATCAAATCCTGCCTCCTTCAAGAGTTCTGTGCAATACTTCCTTTGAGAAACATGAATTCCTGTGGCAGTTTTGTTTACTTCCAAGCCAAGGAAATACTGCAACTCTCCTAAGTCCTTCATTTTAAACAAGGACTTCAGCATATTCTTAACTGCAATGATTGCTTCCAGATTCACACTACCAACCACAATATCATCCACATAGACAATAAGGACAACCAAATGTCCTTTAATCTCAGTTAAGAAAATTGAATAATCAGACATGGATTGTCTGAATCCATTAGCAAGCAAAGATTCTGTTAATTTGGCAATACCACATCCTGTTGGCTTGCTTCAAACCATAGACAGACTTTTTCAACTTGCAAACCTTCCCCTTGTACTCAGGCTTATCCATCATGCCTTCTGGCAATTCCATGTACACATCTTCCTCCAATTCACCATTTAAGAAAGCATTGTTAACATCCATTTGATGCAAATGCCAGTTGTTAACAGATGCAACAGCTAGCAACATTTTTACAGAAGTCAGCTTGGCCACAGGTGAGAAAGTATCACAATAATCAATGTCATACACTTGTGTGTATCCTTTGGCAACCAAACGTGCCTTAAATCTCTCAATTGTTCCATCAGGATTGTACTTAATCCTGAAAACCCACCTGTTACCAACTGCCTTCACTCCCCCTGGCAAGTCAGTGATGTCCCAAGCAATGCAGTTAAAAGCGCGATTCTACCTAGAAGCGGAAAATGGGTAAAATCGTAAAACGTAGAATCAAAGCGTAAAAGCGTAAGTTTTTGACGCACCCTCTAAAATAGCTAAAATATGTTAAGTACAACATATAGTATGTAAAATGTGAGTGTGTAGATTTTAGATAAGTGAATAACTACATGAAATTCATAATTAAAATGTAATATCTAACACATAAACTAATTTGTGTTGACTCAAAAGTAGAGAAAACTCATAACATCTTAATAATAAGCTCATAAATGTATATCGTAACCCGTAAACGAGCTTGAGAATCCAAATTCTCATAAGCTGGTTTGAGTTTACATAATTACATACGATCAATTATCCATAAACTTTTATCGTAACCCATGTAAGAGCCACATGTGAAGATTAAGAAAGAAGACTGATAGAAGGTCAGCGACTGTCGGGAATACCATTAGGTGTCTTTTCAACCTAATGTGAAACCCCTATCTCGACACTAGTTGTAGAACGATTGATGAATAATGTTCTCCTTTTTTCATTTTTTGCTGATATGTCTCCAAAATTACATCATTTTGGGCCAATTAGCACATTTTTATGAGAGGATCAAAATCGTATAAAAACGCTTCAGAATCGTGATTTCACCAATTTTAAGCGATTTTACCGATTTTACCCATGTTTTTACCAATTTTTGTGACTAAGCGACTTTAGGTAGAAACTGAAACGATTTAGTGGTCTGAATACGTAAAAACGTAAGTTTTTACGTTTTAATGCGCGATTTTGACTGCACTGGTCCCAAGTATTATTATCAAACAATGCTTGCAATTCCTCAATCATGGCTGCATTCCACCTAGGGTCTTGAGCAGCCTCAGCATAACAGGAAGGCTCAAAGGCTGCTGCAAGGGCTAAAGCAAAGTGCTGTTGCTGTGGTGAAAGATGAGCCAAGTCTTGAGGGATAACCAACTTGGGACCAAAACTGACTTGATTCAAACCCACATAGAAATCATCATACTTCTTAGGAAATGTTACTTGCCTTGTTGATTTTCTAAGGGGTACTACTGGTGTGGTTGGAGGAGTGAGAGGAGCAGGAGTATGAGACAAATCAGAAGAAGAGGAGGAGGAACCTCTAACTGAAGTGTCTGGACTTGTGGAAGAAGGAAAAACTGGTGAAGTAAATTGGGGTGATGTGGTGACAGAAGGAGAAGGATATTCTGTCAACTCAGGTTCAAGAGCTGGTGAAGAACCAGAACAAGAAGATTCTTCTGGAAATGAAGAAGACAAAGGAACAGAAGAAGGCTGTGAGGGAAGCTCTTCTTCTGCAGAATCTGAGTCAGATGTGCCTGTTTTGAAAGGCAAAATCTGCTCATGAAAAACAACATATCTCTTAACAAAGACCTTGTTGGTAGCCAGATCCAACAACTTGTATCCCTTAATGCCATTAGGGATTCCTAGAAACACACACTGTCTAGACCTAGGATCAAATTTAGACTTATTTGTTAAACTTTTGTTATCTAGTTAAACTTTTGTTATCTTAATCTAACAGATTCGTAGATGTAACAAAAGGTTTTATTATCATGCCTTAATTCTAGTACTTGCGATTTACAACGTCGATTCTTTATTCTCTTTCCGAAGTTCTTAGTTTACAATGCTCCCTCGATCGGGTCTCATCTAGCTGCAGCCGCCGGCGGCGAACCCAACCCTCCCGCCGGCCCCGTCGTACACTACTTCCCACGTCACCTGCTGCAAGTTCCCCAAGACCGCCACGTCGCTCGCGCCGCCGTTGGCGGCAAACCCCAGGCACGCTTGCGCCAACGAGAAGAAGTACAGGACCCCAGCCCCGTGGATCTCCACCTCGACGCCGCCGGCGAAGGAGAACGCGATCGTGGGCACCAACACGGGGTTGAAAGTGGTGAAGTCGAAGCAGGTGTCGAAGATCGAAGTTGGCCTCGCCGCCGGGAAGCCCGACATCAGCTTCCGGAACGCCGACCGGAGGGCCGAGTAGGCCACCGGCGGGAGGCGGGTGAATACGGCGCCGGAATCGATGACCGCTCCAGCGGTGGAGAAGACGGTGGCGGGGATGGGGAGCTTCTCGCCGCCGACGGTTATGGAGGTGATGTCGACGGTGTAGAAGTTGGTGCCGCCGGGGACGGTGGTGAGGGGAGTGTATTTGACCGACGTCGTGGACACGTGGCCGAAATTGAGGAATCCGGTGGTGGTAAAGGTGGAGGGTAGACAATAGGAGAAGAGCTTCTTGTACTTTTGGGCCGTTTGGGAGACGAATGAAAGCTTGTCCCGACCCAAGCCCAACAATCCGGCGGAACCGGCGAACGTTCCTTGGTTGTTTTGGCCGCATCCGAAGAAGAAGTTTTTGAACACGTCCGTTGAGCTCAGTGTGAGTTTCTCCGTGCCGAAAAATCCGTTGGAGAACGAGGAGTCGGAGTACTGGATCTCGTACTTGCACGTTGAGGAAGAACATTTCGACTTCATTCCTGTCAATAAATTGAGTAATCGGCAATATTAAGAAAAAAAATTTATACAGGCACACAGATATTTAACGTGGTTTACTAACACGACGACCTGAGACTGAAGCGAGTGCAGAGCATGAGCGCGCGGAGCAAGAAACGTTTCGGTACGAAGTGGAGGAGGATGGATCGAAAATCTTCTCCCGTTGCTCGTAGCAGAACCGGGCGCATGGCTGGCACTGAGTCCACGTCAGGTCGCTCCCCGTGTCGAATACAAGGGAGAGCGTCTGCGGCGGCGTGCCGATCCCCACGGTGACCATGAAGTTACCGGCGGCGCCGATGGTACGGGCGTCCTTCGCCGGGATGGTGGTGGAGGATTCGGTCACCTTGACGTCACCGCCAGCGGCTGCCTTTCTGAACCTGGACTGAATTGTCTGGACCCTGGACTCGTCGTGGAGCAGGATTTCTGCCGCGGTGGGCCTGGGTTGTTGTTGGGCCTGTCCGCACGGCCCATATTTGTGGACCACTCGCAAAGATGCTCCCTTGTTCAGCCCTACACAAAACTTGTTCTTGTACCATGAATAATGAGTTAAAAAAATGGAAGACAGAGTGAAAAAAGCTTTCTAATCCAAAACCACCTTCCATAGCTGAAAGAGAAGGAGAAGAGCAGCAACTAGCATCCGATGGAATCAGAGAGGAGAGCTGAAGGGTGTGGAAACGAAATCGCGGCGGCGGCGACGGTTGAATTGGAGTTCTCATGGTACTATTGGGTTCAAAGGTAATATTGGGATCGCCATTGGCATTCCTCAGCAAGAAGCAGAGAGCAATGAGAGTCAAGGAGAAGGAGAAAGTAGTGCTAGTAGTGGCGGCCATTATTTCTTAGCAGGATCAGAATGAGAATTTGTGGTGGTGTGATTTGGATTTTAGGTCCATTTTTATAGGCACAAAAAAATATGTGTCTAAAATGGCTTTTTGGCAGGTAGTGGGAGAAGAAGAGTGGGAGATTGATTTTCTGCAAAGTCAGTAAACGTCTTATTCATTTCTATGCAGAGTTTTCACTATCTGATTCGCTTTGTTATACGTATTGTCGTATACGTAAAGTCAACAAATTCTTTTCGATGTAGTTTGTTCGAACGAATACTTGGTAAACTTATAAAAGTAGATAATTCGAAATATGATTTTTGTTGGTGACCAACTTCATTTTGGAAATCAACTTGTGGTAGTTATTTACTTATTGTACACCTTTTCCTTCTGATATTCGTTCGTTCTTTCAATTCCGAAATACTACCATAATTCCTTTGTCCCTTACTCCCTTAATAAATTGGACATCCATCGGGGAAAATACGACGTCGCTCCGAGTCCTCATTTGCAGCCGCCGCTGGCGAACCCAATCCTCCCGCCGGCGCCGTCGTAAACCACCTCCAGCGTCCGCTGCTGCACGTTCCCGAGTATCGCCACGTCCTTCGCGCCCCCATTGCCGGCGAACGCCAGGCACACCTGCGTCGGCTTGTTGGCGTACAGAATCCCGACGGCATCGATGTCCACCTCGGCGCCGCCGGCGAAGAAGAACCCGATCTTGGGCACCGCGAAATTCTTAAACTTGCTGAGGTCGTAGCAGGTGTCGAGGATCGACAGCGCCTGCGCCAGAGGGTACTTCGACATCTGCTTCCTGAACTCCGAACGGAGCGCGGAGTATGCCGCCGGCGGGAGCCAGGTGATGACGGTGCCGGAGTCGATGATTGCGCCGGCGGCGGAGTAGACGGATGCGGCGACGGGGAGCTTTTTTCCTCCGACGCTAATGGCCGTGATGCCGATCCCGTAGAAGTTGTCGCCGCCGGCGACGCTGGCGATGGGAGTGTACTTCACCGCCGATTTGGCGGCGCCGCCGCCGAAGGTGAGGAACCCGGTGCCGCTGGGGGAGGAAGGGAGGCAGTAGGAGAAGAGCTTCTTGTACTTGTCGGAGGTCTGGGAGACGAGCGACAGCTGGTTCCGGCCCAATCCGAGCACCCCGGCGGCGCCGCCGAAGTTCCCTTTGTTGTTTTTGCCGCACCCGAAGTAGAATTCGTCGAAGACGTCGGTTTTGGTCAACGTCAGTTTCTCGATGGCGAGGAATCCGATGGAGAACGACGCGTCGCCGTATAGGATCCCGTAAACGCACGTCGAGCCCGAGGCAGTACATCCCCTGTTTCCTGCCGGAAATTTGGGGGAAAAAAATTGAAAATTTTTCAGTCACTAGAATTCGAAACCAGAAATCTTTTCGGTCCAAAGTTTCATTACCATTGAGAATTAACTATGGTAACGTACCGGTGGCGGCATCGAGGGCGGAGCAGGCGGCGGCCTTGCACGAAACGTTTCGGTACGTTTTGGAGGAGGAAGGGTCGAAGATCTTTTCCTTTTGCTGGTAGCAAGGCTCTAGGCACGGCTGGCATTGCGTCCACGTGACGTCACTTCCGGTGTCAAATATGAGGGAGAGTTGTTTCGCCGGGGTGCCGAGCCCCACGGTGACGATGTAGTCCCCGGAGTCGACGATGCTGCCGTCCTTGGCCGGGATGGTGGTGGATTCCGTCACCCTGACGTCGGCTGCCTTTCTGGCCCTGGACTGGATTTTCCGGACCCTGGACTCGTCCTGGCGGAGGATTTCGTCCGCGGTGGGCTTGGACTGGTTGGCGGTGCTGGTGAGTTTTTGGGCCTGGGCGCACGGCCCATGTTTGTGGAACACTGGCAGCTTGTTCAGCCCTACACAATAAGATCGCAATATTAAAATTAAAACCAACTGCTCAACCTTTCCAATGTACATTAAATATTGAGTGAAAGAGTTAAGCTTTGGAATCACCTTCGGTGGAAGGAGCAGGGCTGCAAGAGTCGGAAGGAAACAGCGAGGACAGCTGAACAGTGTAGAAATGTTTCTGCTGAACTGCAATTCCATCGCCATTAGCAGTGTTCAAAGCAAGCAGAAGAAAGAAGGACAGAGCTGCAGCAAAGGAGGAGGAGGAGGAGGAGGAGAAAGCAGTGGTGGTAGTGGCCATTGTTTCTTTAGGTCCAGGATGAGGAAAATGGGAATTGTGGTCTCAGCGTTGTTTGGGCCGTCCCCTTTTTATAGCCCACGAATATCTGTCAACGTCAAATATAGGTCCACTTCCACACTCCGGTCCGTTTCCACTGTTCTTTAGCTTGCTGTTTTTATGGGCCTGATTTGGGCTGCTGACTCTTGTGGTTTTTCCCAGAACTGATGAACGATGGCGGTTGGGCTTTCCTCCCGGTGGTGGTTACAGCACCCGATTCGTCAACTTAAATTCGTCGGCTTTCCAAAGAAGAAGTAAGGACTAGAAACGGGGGAAAAGATTCTCATCTTGGTTAGTTTTCATTTCCTTTTAATGTGATGTTGTACATATCTGCGTCGAAACGAGATCACGCGCGAGAAAGTAACCTACAACTAACTAATTACTCAGTATTCCTCGTGGTAAAATGAACAACATCATAACATATATCAGGTCGTCTATCAAAGAGATTTGGAGTTTGGATTCGTACCTCGATCGTTTTGATGTCTTACGAAGCTTCTTTATTTGTTTCGGTCATTAATCAGTCACGTCCAAACGAGAAAAAAAAGAAATTGATCATGAATTCCGATAAATTTAAAACCCTGAATCGTAAGTATTTGTCGATCATAATGTGTTGTATATCAATAAGGGTAATATAAGACCAACAAAAAAAAACAACTAGCGTACGCGCGCCATCACGTAACTTCGTGTTCAGATGTAATTCCAATATAATTCGACTAGTTTGATCCGGTAAAACATATATTCTCTCCTCTAGATTGCCTGCTATTCGAGAAGCTCTAGCAGCTGGTTCAGCACAAATTTTTACCAACAAATAACTATTTGGATTCTTGTTTTCCAACGACACATATCATATATGGATAGGGACCACGTGGGAAGTCGTTATTTGTCCAATTTTATATGATATACGGATTCTTATGTTAGTTTGAGTGCAAGCTTTGCTAATTGATGCATATCATTATCGTTACTATTTATATCTTAACCCATATTTGCTCTCCTAAGCAGTAACAAGTTTAAAAGTCTTGACAACCCACAAGCCATAGATAGATAGTAAGGCATTACCGCCGGTCAAACAACCTACAATCCGGCGACAATTATTAGTGATGGTATTGGGGCAGGATCGATACCTCAATTACTCATACGCACCAAGTGCAGGTTAGATATGTTAGTGAGTGTCTATAAGATCTATTTTAAACCTCTCCAAATAACTCGAGTTATTAGAAGTAATTGGTTCCTGACATGGTATCAGAGCCTTCTGTGATCGAGAGATCTTGTGTTCGAATTCTGATGTCCCCATTATATACATTTTAACAATCAAACAAAGTAAAAAAATTCGTGTACAAATGAAAAAAATAAAGACAATAGGTAGATTAATTATATTGAGTTGAATCAATTATAGTCTAAATTGATCAAAATTATGTCATTTACTAATTCATACTTTCACAAAAAAAATCATTCAATATTACTTCTTCATTTGAGACATCGCAAAAAAAAACTTACGAACTAACCTTTATTTGAAACAAACACTCTCACTGAATTCCAAAAATATACATGTTTAAAAAAAAAATTCCCAAAATACACACGTTATAAAAAAAATTCCCAAAATACGCATGTTTGGGCATCACCGCTGTTGTCAACCGCAGTGAATGCATTCACCGCGGCAGTCGGCAGACCAAAGCGGTGAATGCATCACCGCGGTTGACGGCCGCGGTGAAGGCCCGACTTAACTCTGAAACTTCAAACAAACGTAACTTTGAGCTCGGTTATCCGATTGTAGTGAATTTTTTTTTTGATTCCATATAAATTTTCAAGATCTTTCAATCTGCAACAAGACTTTATCTCAAAAAAATGTCGTTTGTTACCCCGAACGAGCAATTTTTCGATTTTTCCAAACTTTGGAAGGACATAACTTTTAGCTCCTCAATCCGAACGTCGTAAAGTTGTTTTTGATTGTGCATAAATTTTTAAGAACTACAACTTTGACTAGGAAATAATTTTTTAAAAAAGAAGTATTTTTGGGTTTACGGGATTTTGGGAATAACTTTGCCTTTACTTTTCAACAATCCACATACTTTCCAAAATTATGGTTATAATAAAAGTTGTAGTACTTCAAAAGTTATGCAAAATCAAAAAAAGTTTCATGACATTCGGATTGTGGAGCACAAAGTTATGATCTTCCAAAGTTTGTTAAAATCGAAAAATTGCTCGTTCAGGGTAGCAAATGATTTTTTTGGGGATAAAGTCTTATTTCAGATTGAAAGATCTTGAAAAGTTATATGGAATAAAAAAAAAATTCGCTACAATCGGATAACCGAGCGCAAAGTTACGTTTGTTTGAAGTTTCAGTGTTACGTTAGGCATTCACCGCGGCCGTCAACCGCGGTGATGCATTCACCGCTTTGGTCTGCCGCGGTGAATGCATTCACTGCGGTTGATAACAGCGGTGATGCCCAAACATTTGTATTTTGGGAAATTTTTTTATAACGTGTGTATTTTGGGATTTTTTTTTAAAAACATATGTATTTTGGGATTTTTTCCCACAATTTCATGTGGTTTAATTTGTTTGAGATAAATGGCATGAGGCGGCTTGATTGATGGCGGACTACTGCCTTTTCCTTTTGTTTCTAACGTTAATCTCCTCTTGTCTTAACCGTACGTTTTTTTTTATAATGGTGATGAAATTTTATTGCTAGAAGGAAAAAGAAAGAAAACAATATATTGTACAAACAAAGGAGATCACAAGGCCTGATCTCACAGTGTCACAACCAAAAGATAACAAAGGAAAAAAGAAAGAAAAATAAAAGGAACGAACAGGAGCACCAAGAAAGGAAGGCAGCACACGAAACTCACGAGAAAACGGTTGTTCACAATGAGCTGGTAGATTGCATGCAACCGGTTCGGTGCCGAACGATAATGCGTCGATTCATTTGATCCAATTGTTATATGATACATATGGATATTGGATCGGATTCATGTGGACGTTGAACGATTTTGGGTTTGTGTTGAGTTTGTATTGGTTGGAATTTGAGTCAACTTGTTAGGGTTGGATTCAAATAGGTTCATTTGAGTCCAGATGAGATGAAGTCATGCATACAAAGATGTAATATGGACCATCTTACTAACTGTATTCAGCCCAATTCACACCTTCAATGTTGGGCGTTTCTACTTTCTACATTTATGTTTGTTTTGGAACAAAGAAAAATGCATAAATTGTATTAGCTAGAATCAGGTATCCGTTTTCTTTTGGGGTAAGCAATACTTTGGGTCCAGTTTTGATCTAAACTAAAAATTTGGGTGCGAGTATGGCCAAAAATGATATTACATAAACTTGATTTGACACGTAATAAATCAAATTTGGACAATATTAGAATTTTGGATCCTTATTGTCATCCCTAGTGTCAACATAATAACTTTCTTCTGGTAGCATATTACTAAGTCGAAGATGAAAATATATCTTCTCAACCCTACTTTTTTTTTACCATAATTTTCCCCCATGTTATTTTGCTTATCGCGCCAACTCTTTATGAGAGAACGAAAAGTTGTAAACAACCAATTCAATTATCTCAAATTCATAACAAATATATTTGAGATTTCTAGGCTTAATCTTGTCATTATTCTCTTGATTTTTTTATATACCTTCAATTCCTACCATTCTAGATGACATATATTTTCTTTCAACTCCAACTTCATATCCGATAATAAAAAATCCACAAATTTCTTCTAAGATATGAAGAAAAAAAAAATACACAACAGTAAACTAGGAGGAGTTGATAAAAAAAAGCACATATTAACTCATTATCGGTAATGTCATAATCAGCAAATACCATAAAGATTACTATGAAATTATGAATTAACTATTTTAGAAACCTCAACGTTTTTAAAAACATGAAGAGATTTATCAAAATAAAATAAAATAAAATTCATCCGACCAACGAATCGAGTTAATATTTTAAATAGAATTATAAATTAACGAATATTAATAATAAAGCGAAACTCATTCGGCCAAGGACCGAGTAAAAGCTAGTAAATATATAGATTAACAAGAAGACAATCCATAAATCCATATTCATCATTCCTTAAATCAAATTGCGGTAGTTATTGTACACTTTGTTCTTTCTCGCAAAGCAAGAAATCCATGACATACTACCTCCATGTCTAATGACTATATGGTAAAGTACGAGTAAAGCTCGAGTTTTTTTCCTTCTTCCTCCATTTGCTTCCCCATTACCTTAATCAGCTTTTCGATGATTCAGATTATTTATAACATTTCTCAATTTCGAAATACTACCTTAAATTGGGAGATCCATCCGGGGAAAATACGATGTCGCTTAACAACAATTGAAACCCTAAGGCTTGAGTTTCTCATTGATTCAGACTTTGGTTTATATATTACAGAGATTGCATAAGAAAACAAGAAAGCCAACCAGGTACAGTTTGTTGGTTTGCTTGAAACAGAAACAAATACAGACTTGTGAATAAAGCAAACTTCGACTGAAAATAGACAGAGGGAAACGACAGCGTTTCTCCAATACGCTGCGCATCAGAGAATTAAACTTCAGTCTTCTTCCTCGTTGGCGGGCAGAGGCGCAACGGTCACATTGGAATCAAAAGGGGTTTTGAAACCCTTTGCTGTTACCCCCCCCCTCCCCCCCGCAAGCTGGTGGGGAGATGTCACGCACACCAAGCTTGGAGAGGAGAGATCGGAATGGAGCAGGAGACAAGGGCTTTGTGAAGAGATCAGCCAGCTGGTGGGAATTTGAGACATGAAGCAATTTGATGGTCTTGTTCAGCAACTTCTCACGAACAAGGTGACAATCCAGTTCGATATGTTTTGTTCTTTCGTGAAATGTAGGGTTCTGAGCAATATAAATAGCACTCTGGTTATCACAAAATAGGGTTGCTGGGTGACGATGGGGTACCTGAAAATCATTGAGCAAGTAAAGGAGCCACTGGATTCACAGGATGTGAAGGCTAGAGCACGGTACTCTGCCTCACAAGAGGAACGAGAGACCGTTTTTTGCTTCTTGCACTTCCAAGAGACAAGGGCGTCACCAAGATAGATGGCAAAACCCGAAATGGATCTTCTGGT